GGTTAGGCATTCTTCAGAAACTATACAAGAAGAAAAGAGAGGCACCCGGGTGGCTCAGTCAGTTGAGCTTCTGACTTCAGCTCAGGTCATGATCTCAAGGTTCCTGGGTTCAAGCCCTACATCAGACTGTGCTGACAGCTCAGAGCCTGGAGCCTGATTTGGATTCTGTGTCTCTCTCTCTGCCCCTCCCCTGCTTGTGCTGTCTCTCTCTCTCTCTCTCTCTCTGCCTCTCTCAAAAATAAACATTAAAAAATATATTAAACAAAAAAAAAAAGAAAAGAAAAGAGAAGAGAAGTGAATGTTAAGGGAAGATTGGAGGGTGCCAGAGACAAATGTAATTGATTTTACAATCTGTATATGGTTGGCCAATCTTCAAAGAAGATTACTGAATAAAAAACATACAGAAGTATATTTAATAAACAAAATGTGTTTAATTTGCAATGTGTGTTAGACTAAGTGGGTCAATGTCTTTAATATGTATAAGACTCTTCCATATCAATAAGAAATCAAGGGGTGCCTGGGTGGCTTACTCAGTTAAGCAACTGACTCTTGATATCGGCTCAGGTCATGATCTTCCAGTTTGTGGGTTCGAGTACTGCATAGGGCTCTGCATGAACCACAAGAAGCCTGCTTGGGATTCTCTTTCTCTTCCGTCTCTCTGCCCCTGTCACACTTGAGAACACGTGCATGCTCACGCGTTCTCTCTTTCTCAAAATAAATAAATAAACATTAAAAAAAAGAAATCAATAGAGAAACATAAAGGTATCAGAATAACCTATCACAAAGGAACATGTACAGCCAGAAAGCCTGTGGAAAAACAATGAACCTTTCTCTTTAAGAATTTCATAATTAAACCACAGAATGTGATACTTATTTTGACTCTTAAATTACCAAATATTAAAATGACTAATAAAAGTAATGATAACAAAAAAAAAAAAGATATGCAAATATCCAATGTGGCTGAGGAATAAGGAAATAAGCATGCATACATTGCTGGTAGAGAGGTGCTTTAAGTTACATATATACACTGAACTATCATTGACCTAGATCTAGATATTTATTTAAATGGAAATACTCCAAATGAAAAATTATAATACAGATTATAGACTATATAAAGAGCATCACCTCATGTTGGTAATTAAGTAACTATAAATAAGTTTTTATATAATTATAAATTAGAATTGCACATATGTGTAAATCTGTAGGAGTCTATACCAAACTGGTGATTGGGATTACCTAAAGATATTGATGTTCGGACTTGCATGATTTTTCCCCCATTTTTCTTTTTGTTTGTCAATAGTCTCTAATTTTTTTATAGTAAGACCTGGATTATTTATGTAAATAAACAAAAGGAAGATTTAATGTATAAGTGGTAGTATAGTGGTTAAGTGGATGAACCCTGGAGTTTGATTAACCCAGGTGACAGGTGACCTTTGTTAAATTCCTTAAACTTCTTATTTTAAATTAAGTTTCTTTATTTTGAGAGAGAGAGTGGGGAAGGGGCAGAGAGAGGGGGAGAGAGGGAAAATCCCAGGCAGGCTCTCCAGTGCAGGGCATGGTGCGGGGCTCGAACTCATAAACCACAAGATCAAGACCAGAGCCAAAGTCAGACGCTTAACCAACTGAGCCACCCAGACACCCCAAATTCCTTAAACTTCTTAACCTTGATTCTCTCACCTTTAAAATGGTGATAATAACAGTGCCTACTTCAATCAGTTTTTGTGAAGATTAAGTTTGATAACTGGTACCACCTACCGTGTGTATTTCTTATACAATCGAGTAATTACAGAGCTCTCGCCCCTACATTATACAGCATTGCAAGCTCCCTGGGGAAAAGCAGAGACGTTTGAGATCATCCCTGCTTGTCCAGGTGGTTAAATGCCCGAGTAGAGAGATGTCGCTAACTCAAATGAGAACACGGCAAACAATGACATGTAAGAGAACCACCCACCACATGCACATTTTAAAGGTACTAAATGTCTATTAATCTAATTTGCTCCTTTGAAAAAGATAATCTAAATAGGTGAATTTTACGTATGTGAATTATATCTCAAGATGTTTCAAAGGTAATCATTTTAGTATGTGCTTTTTACCTGAAAGAAGTGGTCCTAAGAATATTTTAATACAAGGGTGCCTGGGTGGCTCAGTTGGTTAAGCATCTGACTCTTGATTTAGGCTCAGGTCATGATTTTATGGTTTATGAGTTCGAGCCCTGTATTGGGCTCTACGTTGATTGCATGGAGCTTGCTTGGGATTCTCTCTCTCCCTCTCTCTGCCCCTCCTCTGCTCATTCTCTCCCTCTCTCTCAAAATAAATAAAACTTAAAAAATTTTAAATAAAAAAAGAGTAATTTAATACAAAATACATTAATGTAGTACAAAAACTAATATTGCATAGGAAATTCTCTAAACTAGCTGATTTGAATCATATGAAGTTGAATCTGCTTCATAAAGTTATTGAATTGCTTGGAGACTCATTTTTAGTGTGTGATTAATAAAATGATGCCCACATAGGATTTGCAAATATTAAATACTGTGACTAAAATAATGAATTCCTCATTTTTTCCTGTAAACCGGTTGGGGAAAAGAAGCTTTATTTGTTTGGGGGAAAATGGGAGCAGAAGTTCTTTCTTAATGCAATATCAATGATTTGCAAGGTCTAATTAAAAGTCCACTTTCTCTAAAGACTTGCTGCCTTGTTGTTACTGATAATAACAATCCTAGTTTCCATTTACTGAACACTTACTATGTTCCTGGGAATAGGTTAAGTGTTTCACAGACCTGATCAGATGTAATTTTGACAACAGCGCATAAAGGATGTGTTATTAGCTCCATATAATAGATAAAGAGACTGAAACAAGTGAAGCAATTTGACCAGATCGCATTGCGACTAAGTTCAGGCTAGGATTTGAGGCTGAGGCTGTGGTTACAAAGCTTGTCGATACTACACACATACAAATCCTTCCTTGTACCTTGGTCTAGTTGTGAGTGCTACAAATGAGTAAAGAATGAGAGAAGAGAATAATCAGTCTTTTCTCAAATTGTTTGTTCCCAAACCAGAGGTGACAGGCCAAGACTCTGGCAGAAGATTCAAATCAGTTTTCTTCAGTAATAATAACAGCATTCTGAGGCATAATTTTGGCTATTTATATAATGAAAGGTATTACTACCTAGGACGATATACTTAATGCTAAGAGCTAACTTAGAATATTGAGAAAAGAGTTGAACATTGAAGAGTTTAAATCATCGAGTAGTTACCTGAAGTGCTCTTTATTCATCGTGATTCACAGCTTTCATTGAGTCCAGATTCTATATTATATATTTCACTCATTCACTTATTCAATAGTTATTAATTGAACAGCTATATGCCAGGTGCTGTTCTAGGCATTCGAGATACATCAGAGAACATAATGAGCAAAAATCCCTGCCCTTAAAGAAAAAAAAAGAAAATGAGTAATAATATATATTTAAAAAAAAAAAAACAAGAAACAACATCAACAAAGAAAATCCCCAACCTTATGGAGTTTCCATTTCAGTGTGGACAGATAAAGAAACATATCAGATGATGCTAAGTGATGTGAATAGAAATAATGACGGATAAGGAGAGGAGACAGCTGAGGTCTGGTATATAAATGGGGTAAAAAAAAAAAAAACACCTCATTTGAAGTGTTAAGCATGTAAGTGGAGATTTGAATGAAATGAGAGACTCAGAGAGTGAACAAGGTGAATATCTGAGGGAAGAGCATCCCAGGCAAAGCAAGAGTACATGCAAAGGTGTGTTCCAGAAGAGCAAAAAGGCTGGTACGGCTGACCAGACAGCAGAGGGGAGAGTCGTGGTAGATGAGGGTAGAGAGGAAGTGGGGCCTGGTCCCAGTGATAGACTGGGGCTTTTTCTCCCAAGCAGGAGGACCAGTTAGGAGGCTACTGTAATCATCCAGGTGAGGAATTGATGAGCGTCATAGCGGTGCAGGGGGGTGAGAAATGGTTGGATACCGGCTATATTCTGAAAGCAGAAAGGAGAGGATTTATTGAAGGATTGGAGTGTAGGGTAAGAGAGATTGGGTGTGAGGCGTGAGAAATCCTTGTGTTAAAATGCTAGTTAATTAACTTTTGAGGGTAGAGCCTTCCGAGTCCTCCTCAAGCCTCTTGTGTGTACAGACCACTTGACCTTGGAGGTTAAGTCAACAGGAGTCACTGAAACTCTGATTACTAAGAATAGGAAGAAATGCATGGTGACCCTTCGGCCCCAATGGAGTCTTATTTGGGAGAGAGCTTCTGCCAAGCTAAATAGTAGTTGTGGGAAAAGAAAGGATGCCCTTTCTGATGAACTATTCCCAGTTTGTCCAGAGGAAGAACTGGACCTAAAGGTGTAGGAACAGATTTTGACGGAGTTTTCAGAAATTTCAGGACTGGGAACATGTTGCAGGACCCAGCCTTAGGGTTTCCCTGTTTTTCTATTTCTCGCTTTCCTTTTTCCCCTTCATTCCCCACCCCTTCCTTGGCCTAACATCATGGCTGCAGGAAGGTACAGTTTACTGTCGGTTCTCAAACTTCAGCAGGCATCAGAATTACCTGGAATGTTCTGATGAAACACAGACTGCTGGGCCACACCCCTGGAGTTTCTAACTGGGACACAGCGCGCGCGCGTGTGTGTGTAGAGGGGTACAGAGGGGTGGGGGAGCTGAAATTTTGCATCTCTAACAAGTTCTTAGGTGACGCTTGAGAACCGCTGCTTCCAGAACCAGAGGCCGTGCAAAGCAGTGTCTTGAATTCCACCTCGTGACATGTGAGTGGCGAAGGTTCCAGCTCACAGAGGTTTCCAGTCACTTAGGGAAACCGTGCACTTACCCCCACGGTGTTTCCTCGGCTGCCCATAACCCGGGGAAAGAAGAAGCAAAGGCCGGCGAGGACAAGGAAGGAGCGAGAAGTCTTTCCAGACTGGACGGCCCCTCGGAGCTCCCCCAGCGAAGGCAGGGCGGGAGGACAGCCCCCAGGCCAGCCCCCGGATCCTCAGAGGGCGCGCGCCGACCTGGAGGAGGCGCCCCAGAAGGCGGCGCCTCTCGGAGGAAGTTTGTCCTTCAACTGCGGAGCCGCCTCGCCGGCGCAGCGACGTCCAGGAGCGCGCGGCGGGCGCCGACGGGAGCTGTGAGCGCCGCCCCGGGGGCTCGCGCGCACCGCGGCCATGGGCGGCTCGGCCTCCAGCCTGCTGGACGAGGGCAAGTGCACCTACATCCGAGGTACGCGCGCGCCCGCGGTGGGGGGGTGGGGGGGCGGGGAGCCTGCACTCGGGGCCGGACCCGCCGTCCACCTGCGGCGCGCTCCCGGCGGGCGCGGGGACCTCGGGCGCGCACGGCGCCTCGCGGGGCCAGCGCTCTCCCTCGGGGGCCGCACGCCCGGGCCGGGCAGGGCTGCGCTTCGGCCGGGGCGGGGTGGGGGGGTGCGGGGGGGCGAGCGGTGTGCGCGCGCGGACCGGGGATGCTCTGGGAAGCGCCGCGGCGGCACGGAGGCGGGAGGCAGGTGCAGGCCGGGGGGTGGGGGGCGCGGGCGACCCCGTCTCTTCCGCTCAGCCCCCTGGTGGAGAACCACCTCGCCCTCACGTTAAGTTCGGAGTTCTTTCTGAACTTGCCCGAGGACAGCCACGGGGATATCCCTCGTTGGTGGAGACTTCCCGGGGGGATTCCCGGCCTGTAAAGCAGAATTTCCCTCCTGGTGATGTTGGCCTGTTTTTGTCAAACGCGGCGTCGGCCACATCTTCACTTGAACTTCAGATCACTTGTGGAATTACTTCATCAGAGGCAGAAAGGACCGTGTCATTATGCTCCCAGGTTACACGGTTTTCTTTCCCTCTCCGGAGACAGAGGGGAAGGCAAAAGAGGAACACTGGCGTATTTTGTAACAGTTACTAAAGTAAAGATGGGGGGGAAACTCATTTGGGGAGACTTTCAGACGTAGTGACTCATTAGAGAGTGCGAGGCAGAAAAACAAAACATAGTAAAACAACAACAGCATACACGCACACAAACCCACCAACAAAAACAACAACAACAAAAAGAACCAAACCAAACAAAAACCCAGACTGAATTGAAACTGCAGAAAATCGTGACTCTTATCTCCTGGTGTATTTGACCCGTCTCTTTATTCTCCAGCAACTTTGCCCACAACCGCTACCTGACATGTAGTTACCTTGTGATTTAGTCTTTTTCTGGCTTTAGAAATACCGTCTAAACGAGATATCGAACTGTACGTTTTACCCTAATTCTGTAAAGAAATGGTTAAGTTCTTCCTGATTACATTCGTCTCTTTCTGGCCCCCAAACCTTTCCTAAAAGGAAAGCATTTCTTTAGTGTCCTTACTCCATACTTGTTTTCAGTCACCAAAACAGTTAAAGCCATTTTTAAGGGATAACAAATCAGGGCACTTGAGAGCAATGTAATTGACTTTCCAGATTCCTGCTCTGGGGTTTCTGGAGGCAGAGGATCATCAACAACCCATTCAGTCAGGGGATAAATCTTGGTCAAGTATTCCTTTCTGTAGTTTATTTAAAATGGGAGAAAGATGGATGACTTATTTATATTAGTTAAACAGCTAAATTAAGACTGCCTTAGTCTTAACAAATTTGGCCATGTGCTTACTTTCACAAGTGTGTAAGGGACTCAAAGAACAACATAGTAGAATATAGTTAGAAGGGGTTTGCATTTAGTTATTTGCAAAATATGTTTATGCCATTTATTTAAGACTTTATTTCACTGCAAAGCTTAGAGACACCAAAGTTGAATCATGGCCATATACAGTAATCATCAGAAGTCCAGCCATGTAAGGGATTCACATTCTTGAAGACTTCATAACCGTGACAGTTGTTGCTACTGGTGCAAGCCTTGTGTTCATGTGAAAAGAAACTGTGTTACCTTTTAATGTATTGTGAAATTAAATTATTACCCTTACAAAAGTATGAGATGGCTCATGCACAAGAAGGACTTGTAATGAATACGTTCTGAATGAATAAAACTATAGCAGAGTGGGTAACAGTCATTACAACCACAAGTCCTCTTCAATTTTATGTCCTTGTTCTTTCGGAGGACACTTTCAAGGTATGAACAGGCAGAGGGAAGAGAAGAGTTAAAGTTAGAATACCTCCAGAGAAAATGAGACGTTGCCTCATTTGAGAATACTAGTCTTGCCAAAAGAGAAAAGAGCATTGGAAAAATGCATGGTGTTGTGAATTGTTAGTGCATGAGCACATGAAGGTCGTGGGGCTGTGTTTTCTTGATGGTTTTGAAGCCTCAGAGCCCTGAAAAAATATATATATATATATATATATAGTTGTATCTTCTCTGCTTTGCCCATCCTATAGCCCATAAATATTCCCAAGTTTTGATTTAATTATAGCCAGAACAATTGAAAATACGACAGGAAAGTTTAAATACAATTTTGTGACCTGTTTCTCACAAAGGAACTGCCAAATGAATATTATAGAATGAAAGCTCCTGTGGCTGATTCAATAAGTTGCCTTCAAGCTTGATAGCTTTGCTAACATATGGAGGATAACTAGTCAGTATATTTGGAGTGAGTTTTGTTAACTTAATCTTGTATGTGTTATAAGCAGCTGTACTTCTGGTATGCTAATGAGTCTGAATCAGCATTTGCTTTTAGACAGATCATTTAACAGCTGCCGTTCAGTTTGTGTGCATCGAAACTTTGTGTTAACAGTGATGCTCATCACATGGATGTTTTGAAAATACATTATTTCTTAGGATTTAGTGAATTTCCAGGCGAAAGGAATATCGGAAGGATTAAGGAGTTACTTCATTTCTAAAGATGCTTTGAAAATGATTGCCACACTCATTTCTTAGCACATTCTTTCTTAGCACAGAATACATTTTTAAGATTGTTTCTGGAAAGTTCCAATAACTTCACTTGATACGATGTTTCAATTAATAAATAATACTAAAATCAGGTTGTAATCATAGGGGCAGGGTTATCTGTTAGCCCTCAGTGTTGCTTTTAGCACTGACTTCAAAAGGTCTTATTTCACTGAGAAGGAAAGCTCGTATTATCCAGGCACCGGTGATCAATTTAGGGCAGTTTCCTCCCTTTCTGCCACGTTTTCTTCTACTTTTTAAACTTTGATATGCAAAAATGAACTATAGCTTCAAAACACACAATGCCTTCCTGTTTGGTCAATAATTATATTTCCTTTTGGAAATTGCCATTGGATCATTAATGAATCAAAACAAAACAAAACAGAACAGAACCTGACAACTCTCGCTCCTAAGTCCTGTGGAGGATCACAATAGGTCCAGGAAAATCAGTGCTGCAGCTGAGAATTGTGAGGGACCCAGGTCTTGGGTGGGGGCTGGCAGACACGTGGAGACCTAGTAGCAGCAAGAGGCAGGAAAACCATTCTTTTCCTCGATTTACTGTAGAATCAGTCCCACTCAACCTGTAAGGACCCACTGGCTCCCAGTGAAATGCTTATCGGTGATCTGATGCTTATAAAGTAGGAAATGAGTTTCAGCTTAAAAACAACATGTATTTCTCTTAGGGGGATTTTCTCATGTTTATATGGCAAGGGTTCACGTAGGTGGCAGTATATGAAATGTATGCTGATAACTGTGTGGAGTGACATCTCCACAAACAGGATGAATGGAAGATGGGGACAGCTGTGTGTTTGCAGTGTACCTAATCTAGATGTTTAGTACTAGTCCACAAATGTGCCTCTTCTTCAGTCGTAATTTGTGGGTAGGAGGTGGCGTAAGAACTGGTCTGATTTGTATGGATATGATGAGTGTAATCTGAGAGTCCAGTTTATCTGGCTAGAAATGGCAGTATATTGTAATGGGAAATTAGGATATGGCGTGTGGGTAGGCACAGTTAGATATCCACCCAACATCCTTTCCCCATTCCTCTTTCAAGTAGAACCTCAGTTTTGTTTGGGGAGTGAACGTCTTCTATGTAAAGCCACCTGTTCCAGAGAGGCTAGCCCCACTTACAGCTTTTGAGGGGTGGGTACAGACTGGCCCGTCCCCGTCATGGTGCTGTGTCCTCCTTGCTAGTCATTGTACGAGGCACAGGGTTCTGATGTAGACTGGCCAAGTGAGGCTTGACGGGAAGTTTGCTGGCAGTTTCTAAGAAAGTCTTGTTCCCTTTTAAAAAGGAGACAAAGGGTTGAGACATAGTCTTTCTCTCCTTCTTCTTTTGGACGTTGTTGCACTTGAGTGTGATGCCTGGAACTAAGTAGGAAGGGAGCTAGCTTAAAGACATAGCCAGCATTGGAGCACTGCCCGGCCAGTGTCATCTCAGGGCTGGAGCCCGGGCACACCTTGCTGATGGCCTGCCTGTCCGACTCCTGACTACTTTTTGTTGTGTAATATACTAAATCCTCTTTGAGTGGGGGTGAAAGAGAATGCTGGTTATCCCCCAATATCATTTTTCTCTACCTTTTTCTTTTAAGTTTTTATTTACTTAAGTAATCTCTATACCCAATGTGGGGCTTGAACTCATGACCCTGAGATCAAGGGTCTCATGCTTCTCCAGCTGAGCCAGCCAGGTGCCCCTTCCCTGCTTTTAAAAGTAATAGAACCTCTATGGGGTGCCTGGGTGACTCAGTTGGTTAAGCGGCCAACTCTTGATTTGGGCTCAGGTCATAAACTTACGGTTCATGAGTTCAAGCCCCGCGTGGAGCCCTGCGTGAAGCACCATGTCCAGCCCCACGTTGGGTTTCCTGCACTGACAGTGCAGAGGCTGCTTGGGATTCTCTCTCTCTTCCTCTTTCTCTGAACACTCCCTGCCCATGAACATGTGCTCTTTCTCTATCTCTCTCTCTCAACATAAATAGAATTAAAACAAATTAATAGAACCTTCAAATGGTAGCTGGCCATGTGAACTCCCAGAGTAAAAATATTCCCCAGCCATCTTTTCAGCTAGATGGGGGCCATATAACTGAGTTTTGGTGATGGGGTATAGGTAGACGTATTGTATGCTCTTTCCAGAAAGTGACCTTAAAGGGAAAGAGTGTGCCCTTCTTTGTCCTGCCTTTCATACTATTGGCTAGATTGTCATGGTGGCTGAAGCAGCGTCTTTCACTGTGAGGTGTCCTTTTAAGAAGAAGCTCATGCAGAATGGAGTCAGTGGACAGAAGGAGGCTAGGTGCACGTGGTAGAAACTCCATACCAGCACTGAGCCTTCATAAGAGAGAAAGAAAGTTCTATCTTATATAAGCCAGTATTATCTGTGTTAC